ACACACTCACACACACACACACACACACACACACACACGCATGTAAATACGCACACTGGTCTCTGACACATCCCTGAGGCCGATCAGTCCATTGTACAGGCTCTCCAGTGAGCCATAGCTTTTACATATATTAAAATGAGCCTTGGGTGGAGAGCTACCCCTGAAGACTTGCTACTCTCAGTCCACAGTGCACACACTGCAGTGCAGCAGTGTTCTGTGTGTGTGAAGACAGGAGTGTAGAGAGAGCAGCAGACCATATCTGAGGCAACATTGGTCTCTTCTTCTTTTTTAGTTAAAACTTTTCTACTTCATGGGGTTCTTTAACTTTATTCACCTCTGAGATCCTAAATGATAGAATTTGGACTTTCACTGGGACTCAGACTAAGAACAACCATTATTACTTTTATCATATGAGCGGACTTCTAAGACCAGTCCAGCAGGAAGGGAAGTCTACAGTCTGAAGCAATGTTCACCTCTTCCTGTTCAAAGGAGTGAAAAAAGTCAGAAATACAGAAAAACTTCAGTGATCTCTCAAGTTTGGCATGCTCTGTGTCCTCCTTTAAAACCAAAAATAGTTTTTAACTAAAACAGTTAAAAACAGAAAGATATTTCAAGTCTTAATTATAGCACTTTGCCTTTTAATTCATCATTATAATTTGTTTAACTAATTACAATATAGAAAGTGAAGTTTCTAAATTAATCAACTGCTTATTTATTTAACACAAATAACTAAACATTGACTTTGTGTTCCCTGCAATATTTTTAAATTAGGGTTTAAAATGATGGTAAAATGGTACCAAAGTTTCTCAAGACTTAAACTTGTAAAATACAGCTTAAGTTGTTTGTCTTGTTGAGGACAATGCATTGTTGTTTTTATTTATTTTTTATTTACTCTTTCAAGGCAAAATATTGGATCCTGTAATTAATTCTTCTAATTTACAGAGAAGCCTATGAAATGATATGAATGTGTCAGAAACAGCTATTTTAAAATGCAAACTCTAATTTGTGCAGGCCTCTTACTTCCTTTTTAGATCATTGGGACTGATCCAAGGTACATCTTGGGAATAAACCGGGTTGGAACCATGTCGCCTCTTCTGCCACTCTGAAAGTTGTGAAGGTACCATCTGTGATGATATCATTCCAATGTGCTGGTACACCCAGGGATGTAGCTAAGCTTTGGGGACCATGTATAAAGCAGCCACAAACCATCCAATACCACACTTGAACCATATTACCCAGGTTACTTTCAGTCTGCATAAGAAAAAAAACTAGTAATATTTTATTCCTGCTAATTGCTGGTGTCTAAGATAACAGCTGAAAGAATGTTTTGACAATGTTGTTTGATTATGTGAATTACATACTCTTCACAAACAGGGTAATGCAAGAAAAAGCATGTCAGAATAGTTATTTCAGTCCAACTAAAGGACTTTTCTTGAGATTTGGGCCATTGACAGAGTCAGTTCCCCTATTGTACTATAAATAAAACATTTTAGGATTAGTTATTTTTATTGGTGGAAACATTTTTGTCTTTGTAATTCTTCTAACATTTATTGTTAAAATGGTGAACGTTATGAAAGAGATGGTGGTTAGGAGATTGAAAATAGAATTTCTCTTTCACTGTGATGACTGAGTTGAGGTGGCCTGAATTGACCCATCGACAAATGAGTTGGTCAGTAACAAAAAAAAAAGAACATGTGAAGGTGAACCTGGGATGGAGAGAAGAAACTTTAAGAGAGGTATCGATGTTTCTCTCACTGCAGGAATTCAAAATAAACAGCTGAAGAACTGAATATCAATTGTCAACTAGCCTTCCCTTTAATCATTTTTAAGTTGATTGATTTGTCTTTTTGGCACCCGAGGATAGTTTATAGCAAAAGTAAATATGTGCTCTTAATTTGTCCCACCTCAGCAAAATATATCATTATCCACCGAGGCAGATTTGAATGATTAGAAAGTGTCCGTCTAACTACCGGTATAGCCCTATGCTGCCTTTAATGGGGATAAAATAAATCAATATGTATATGTGACCAGTGTTGGGCTGTCAGGGCCAGCAAGGCCTTCTCTGCTGGCCTAAACAGAATCACAAAGTTAGAGCTATTTTATAATCTAATCATTTTTCTTAAATACACTACATGTATTATAATTTATAAAAATATTTGTTCCATTAGCTTATTTTCTCATTGCACAGCTACTGTCTTCCTCAGTTGCTCTGCTTCCAGTGCAGCTTGTTTTAAGTAGAGCTTTTATCCAATCAGATTTCACCTCTGTGTCTCTAGGTAAGAAGAGAGGCCCCACTGCAGACTCACACGTGAATCCCTTTGCAGTTTAAGTGAATGGGGACGATATTGTTGATTGTCATAGTGTTCAACCAATCAGATCTTTAGTTTGACATGTTGGGCGTATTCTTTGACGTGCCAGAGCCTTCGAGCTGGCCTACAAGTACGTCAGCATTAACGTGCAGCTCTGCAGTGAGGTGCAGCGTGCTCGGTCAGTGGGCGAGCACGTGACTATCGTGAAATGAAACTTACGGAAGCTGGCAAAGCTTAGTCGGAGTAGTAAGAGTTCAAATTGAAAGATATGGAAGAAATCATGACATTTTTTGCATGCTTGGTGTAGATTTTTTTTTTTTTTACCTAGCTTTGTTTTTTTAACACTGAATGGCTGAAGGAGGAGGAGAAACGGATTTGTGAGTTGGGATTTAACCGTGGGATTAAACTCTTTGTCAACAAAGAAAGGAGGGTGGAGTTTGTCTTTAAGTGAACAGCATTTGGTAAGTGAACTGCGTTTGTTGTTTGTTTTTTACATCTAATATCTGAATGGCCTGTGCCCTCAATTGTGTCGCAGAATGCGTATTGCTGCTGTTGTTTTCCCGTTAAGCTAGTTTAGCGTAGCCTCCCAGAACACGTGCAGTGCCTCAGCTGTTTTTTTTTTGTTTATTTTTGTTCCGGGCTCAGAGGTCCCACACCCCGTTGTCTCCTACGTGAGCGCAGAAAACATTGTATTTCCCACAATTTAAGCTTCTGCATTTTTCCAAATGCACTAGTATTATTCAAACGTATTGTTCGGTTTGTAAGCCTCGTACCGAACGGTTTAATACGAATACGTGTATTGTTACACCCCTAGAAACAAATAATAACCGTAGCTGTGGCGCATCATGAGGTTAATAGGAGATGGTTCAGCTGCAGGACAGCAGTGAAGGCCCAGGTATAAAATGCACGGCCCGCCACTGAAGTATACGTACATAATGTATTCATCTTCTGGACCAGAGGTTTTCAACAGGGGGTCTGCGACCCCTAGGGGGTCCGCGGAGGTACTGCAGGGGGTCCGCAAAATTTTTGGTTGATTAGACCTTTTTTTTTTTTCAAACATGAATCTGACCATTATTTTAATAGTTCAGTATTGTATGCAAGATAACAGGTATGTTTATGCATGGCAGTGGCACTAATAGGCCATCACTCATTTTCGTTTCCACATTTATGTTTACAATAAAAACGTCAATTTGAATAGCTTGTATGCATCATGCAATTGACAGACAATGTTGATATTGGCATTGGTATCAGCTGACAAGGTATGTTTATAAATGGCAGTGCCACGGCCACCCTGCTCACTGTACCTTGCACATGTTTAAAATAAAAACATGAATATATGAACCTGTGTATTATTTGAATAGCTTAGTATTGAATGCACAATAAAGAGGTATGTTTATACATGGCAATAGGCCCAGTCTAATATAAAACACAATTTTATACAATATATATAGTCGGGGGTCCCTGCTCCATCTCTCTATCAGTTTGGGGGTCTTTGGCCTGAAAAACGTTGAAGACCCCTGTTCTAGACTTTCCAAATGTTATTGGACCAAATTGATCAAGCTCGCATGTGTACCCAGAATGACAAGCACACAGATAGGCCCTGTAAGGAGACAGACAGGGCCGGTAAAAACGTTTTTGATGGTCCACCAATGTGACGGCCCATTAGGGATTTGACCCGGTATGCCAGATGGCCAGTTCTCCATTGCTAGCCAGCAAACTGTAGGCTGTGGTAGGTAAGTGTTGCAACTTACCGACCACAAAGACTGAGCAGCAGAGGCTATGTGCTCTAGTTTATATACAGTGTTAGGGGAGGGGTCATGCTAAGGATGGCTCCAGTGCGTCATTGAGCCAAGATTTCAGGAGAATTTCTAGACACTAAAGTGGTGACAAACAGTCACTTCACAATTCAGTAATATTTAGTTTAGTGTTTTCACATGTCAGCAATAAGTTTCTATCATGTATTTTGTGTTTAGAAGCAGATCTCATATTTTACTTTAACCGGACTTAAAATTCATATCTCAAGCAGAGTTTCAAAGAAGAAAGAGGACTTACCAGAAATCCCTGTCACCGGTCATGGCTTGAATTCTGCTATTTCTTCAGACAACCTGAAAGTGGAATTGGAGAAATAAAAAAGAATATTGTCTAATGATTGACTGAATCCACACTGCAGAAACAGAAAACATGTGCTTGAATTATACCAAAATGAAAAGATTGTGATCAGAAATGGAGACTGAAATACTTTTACAATGCCTTTCATCACTGAGTGTACATGACAAGTGAAGAATGAAAAATGTACACAAGAGGACGAAATGTATTTCACAATCATTTATCTCAGAGAGAACTCAGTTAACAACACAAAGAGGAAATCCACACAATCTGCCTCAGGAAGTACTCATGTGATACAGAGTGCAACTTGAACACAAGAAGAACAGTTTTAAACGTACTTATATAACGTTGCCCAGCGATGCAAAGGTACATTGTCACTACAGGACCAGATCTTTGAAATGGAGCCCACCATCCAACTAACTTGACAGTTCGTGGAAATAAAACAATACATCAGAGAAGCAGAACAATGCAGCCTCTTGATGAGCAGCTAATGAGACTATTCATTAACAACCTATTGTCTTTACTGTCAAAATAGATTTAGTTACTACTGAACCATGGCATAAACACATTTGGCGATTTGATGTATATATGTGCCAATTTATTTCAGAACTGTGATGCAGACACTAATGTTCAACTCTGCCTAAGTCGAACAAATAAATTCTGTTCCAGTGTGTCCTATCACCCTATTATCACATTCTGCACAATAGTGGAGAAATACATGAAAAATGTGCTGCCAGACAACTAAAAGACAATAACTTAAATCCTGCTGATGGAGGGATGAGCAGTTGTTGCCCAGGACAAACAGAAATGTAGTCTGGAAATCCATCTCAGGTTTGGCTAAGAAAGACTTTTGAAGATTTGATTCCAAGACAAAGTTGAAAAAAGGTTTTGCATTATTAGCAATTTAAATCTGGCACAAACAAGTAAGACTGGTCAACACTAAAGGCCATCCTTTTTGAGGGTTGGGTGGACATGTCATACTCACCACACTACTGCTCTGAATTTAACCGAAATACTCTTCACTTTCACAAATTGTTTCAAAGTGATTTGACACTGTTGTTTGTTTTACAATCTCTGTTTAGATAGCATCAGTGACACTGAGCACTTTCTTGCATTAAAAGTCCAGATGATAGTGTGCACATGCAACTCTAGTAAAGGAGAGCAAAGGCAGAACCCATAGCAAAAAGACATGCCTCCTAGGGGCAACGTTTTGACCTTCTCCATAAAGTCAAATATCCACACCACATGTGACACACCGGCAGGAAGTGTTGACTCATAGTTTCTTGATTTATAGGCAATAGAGGAAGGACCGAAGAATACTAAGACTATATCTAAACAAATACATTTTTGTTTAATACTGGGGTTTTAAAACAAAAAAGATCTCCGTCCACACGGGCGTTTCAGCATAAACGTAGCAAAAGATGTCTTTTCAAATGGAAACATAGTAGAGTGGACACGGCCTTAGAAAGACATAACTATTGTGTAATTGGAGACCTACATAATACTGGATTCAACAAGACAACATGGACGACATTTTGGGTTTGCATTCAAGCTAGGGTTGGTAACGTAGGTATCTGTGGCTGTCGCAGGACTGTAATAAGCCTGTCCAATCATTTTGTTTGGCCCAGCCTGTTTACCGTCTTGCTCGCCTGCCTGCACTCTTTTACAAGCTGCTAGCTTGACAGTTGTAAGTACAAACAATGGACAAGTTTGTTGTTTATGTTCATAATGATAATTTTTGGGGAGTGGCTTTTGAGGGAAGCCTGTAAGGGGCATGCTGTAAGTGTTGCAGACTTTCTCGCTAGATTTAGCAGCTTTTGGACCTAGCCCTACTGTCTGCTTTCATTGGAAAGGAGTTGGCAACACTAAGCTGGGTTTTTCAGTTGGATTATTTTTAAAAGCTAGCGTACTCTTGCTGGCTTCGCCAATGTTGCAGACCCCAGCTCTAACAGAAGGCTAAGCAGCTGAAGCAGAAAATTGAAACAACAATTTAGAAAATAGAAGAGTGTCTTAGTAAAATAATACAAATATATACTCATTGAGGAGGGGAAATTAGAAATGAATCATTGTCTCTAATAGAAGCCCGTTTATGTAATAAAGACTCCATTAGATGTTGCACTTGCCTTTCCCCTTCCATTGTATTCACCAACAAGTGGTTGCTTGTTCATTGCACAACCTGCATATTTCATGGTAGAGTGTATTGAGACTCACTTTGTGTGGTGGTGTGTCAAGAGTCATGAAATATAATCCATTGTAATCCAAGTATGTGGCTAGCTAACTTTAGGTAATGTTTAGCTTGTCATTTAAGCAGTTGTGTCGCGTAAGCTATACACAAGTATACGGCCTATTCCTACTCATTTTTCAGGTGTCCACCCACTTCTAAATCCCCTCTGAAGAGCATCTTTGTTATACATTGTTTGAGGTTATATTGCATAATTGTAAAAAACATCACTAATGTATGTAATGAAGCTGTTATTTTTCTCAGTTTGACAATCTAAGCAGTGACAACGCATTTGTTAAGGTTGTGAGGACTGTAGATGATGATAGTTGTTGTTTTGTTTAAATACGCAGAATTAAAATTTTAAACCACCATGGCTAATATGTGCTAACTTCAGTTGTCAGCTTTGTCGATGTCTCATTTTTGTAAATAATTTGTCTACCAAAAAATGTTATCAATAAGAACTTTAATAACTGATCAATGAAGCCCATTGTATTTACGAATGGATGACAGGCGCCATCATACACTAAACATCTGCAGAAGATGACATTCTTTGGAGTCTATCGGAATCTATCTTTACATAACACTCAAACAATGCATGTTTAAGGGTTATGTACATGTTTCAAGCATGTTCACACATACATCTGCATCCCTGTGTCATTTTTTAAATGATGATTAAAGATAGAAATCTACTAAGCATGGTGCTCATTGAAAATTCACACTTTGAGGTCACACTATCCACCCTGCCCCTCCCTCTGTCCCTCCCTACTTGAACTTGTGAACTCTACATTCCTTTTCCATAGTGAGGAAAGTTAGAGCAACCACCAGAGTTGTTCCAAAGGGCCTCCAACTGGAAACAGTGAAATGTGGAGAGAGAAAGACAGATAGAAAAGAGGGATGGATGTTAGGGAAAATTTAAACATTATTTATACATAATTCGATTATTAATCGATTATTTAACGTGATCTGGAATGCAGTACACATTTATTTAGCTTTTGGGATGCTGTAATCCGTGGTGTTGTACAAGACTACGTTACATCTTATGGACATATTAACAAGATCAAGAACAACACATCGTACAATGGGAATTGTGGCTCAGTGGTAAAGCAGGGTGGTCTTTCAGTTAGAAGATCGGTGGTTTGATCCCCTCGTTAGTCCATGTCGATGTGTCCTTGGGCAAGACACTTAACCCCAATTTGGCCCTGCAGGCTGTTCCGGTGTATGAATGGGAATGTTAGATAGTCCTGATGGTCAGGTGGCACCTTGCATGGTAGCTCCTGCCATCAGTGTGTGAATGGGTGTGAATGGGTGAATGATGACATGCAGTTTTAAAGCGCTTTGAGGGGCCGGAAGACCAGAACAGAGTACAAGTACAAGTCAATTTACATTAAAATATCCATAAAGGAATGTATTCCAGGGCTGTATTTGTCAAAAAATACAATTTGTACAGTTGTCCATATTATTTTCTGGTGTTTTCGGAAATTTAGTGTGTAAATTTGTACATTAACATTAAAGTGTATTTAAGAGTAAGATTACAACAAGACTGACTGCATATACGTACATACTGAATACGTTGGGTAAGTAAGTCCCATACAAGATCTATACATCATTTTCAAACAGTTTTTATGCTAATGTCTATTTTACCTTATTGTTACACTGCTGTCTCTTTGTTGTCCACATAACCCTTTCCAGCAGAGTTTAACATAAGGGATCACTCACATGGGACACAGTATTGGCTGCATAGCTTGGCCACTTTCTTCTTCTTTCAATTTGTTTTCCCTCCACCTCAAGAAGGTCGCAGGCCAGACTACAGAACACAGCTGATAGTGATTCAGTGCCTCGTCAGGCACACTTCACCACAGTGGTTCTCATGCAGTCCATGTCATCAGAGCAGACTCGTTTCAACTTCAGCTCTCATACTGATAAATATTGAAGTTGAAGCTGGGGACAGAGACGCTGAGCAGTGAATAGCTGTTCCTGGCACCTAAATAGTTTTAGCTCCTGATTTGTCAGTAAGCACTCCTGCTTTCCTGTCAAGGCTCATTTGCTGCAGTCTTGCTATGTATGTCATTTAATGTACAGCTGTTCAAGTTCATGGGGGAAGGACAGCTCTACCATTTGCAGTCATGGTGATCTCAACAATCCCATAGCTGCCCATTTTACACAGGCACAGCACCCTGTTGGAGCAGTCACAGAATTGGATAGGGCAAAGTGTCCAGACATGGATTGGACATGGACAGTGAGGTCAGGGAAACATCTTGCAAATTTTGCAAGATGTTTCAACAGTGAATTTGTTGATAAGAAATAGATACATCACCTAATTATGTTATTGACATTTCTTGATAGGATAGAAGTTGTAAAAAACAGCACTGTAAAAGCTGTAATTTAGAGCCACATTAGTTGGTTTCTGACCACTAAGGGGAGGCAGAACTCCAAAACAAGCTGACACATGCACTTCCCCAGGCCCTGTTCTTTAAATGTGGCTGAACTAATTCAGGCTAATATGTTGTCATTTGGATAAATAATCCTGTTTATTGACATCCGGCTAAATTGTCTCTTTGAAAGCACTTTGAGGATTGATTTGTCAAACCTGGATGGATTTATCTTGAAAAACAGTATGATTTTATTTAAACTTTGAAATAAAGGCAAAGTAGAGAGTTGAAACCATCACAGCATTCATATGATTGGCTGAGTGCTGATCATATGATTGCAGTTACATGAGGAAAGTGTATTTGGAACCCTTCCAGCATGTACTAGAGCAACAGATTCTTGGGGAACAAA